GATATTGGTTATAGAGTGAGATTTGAATCAAAAGTGAGTGAAAATACAAAGATAGAATATGTGACTGATGGAACATTGATTTAAATTATAATGGGCAATCCATTAATTGAAGGATATTCAGTTGTAATGCTTGATGATATTCATGAACGTACTTTGAATACAGATCTTTTATTATGTTTAATTAAGAAGATTCAAAAAAAGAGACCTGAATTGAAAGTGATAGTTTCATCTGCAACAATGGAAGTTGATTTATTATAAAACTTTTTTCCTAATAGTAAAATAATAGCAATTAGAGGTAGGAATTATGAAGTTGATGTAATTATAATGTACATCATATTTAGATTATGTATTTACTTGAACCATGTAAAAATTATGTGGTTGCTTCTGTTGAATTGGCATATCATATTCATAAAAAGATGCCTGAAGGAGATATACTAGTATTTCTAACATCTGTTGAAGAAATACATGCATTTATTAATTTATGGTCACATCATAAGACTAATTGTGTAGTATTACCACTACATGCTAATTTGGGAATTGATAAATAATTGTTAGTGTTTAAATAACATGCAAGTAGAAAAATTATAGTATCTACTAATGTTGCAGAAAGTAGTGTTACTATTGATGGAATAGTATATGTGATTGATTCATGTTATCAAAAAGTAAAAGTATATGATTATAAGAGAAGTATTAATAATTTATGTAAAAAACTTAGATTTGGAATAATTAAATGTTTTACCTATTTCTTAACAATCTGGTGCTTAAAGAGCAGGCAGAGCTGGAAGAACAAGAGATGGAATATGTTATAGATTATGTACAAAAGAGGATTATTAAAATTTACCTAAGACATTTCCACCAGAAATATTGAGATCTAATCTAACAGAACTCATTTTATAAATTAGAGTAAATATATCAAATATATATAATTTATAGTCATTCTCATTAACACCAAATCATTTATAATGTAGTAATACATTCTTGACTCCTGTATCTAATGAATAATTAATCAATAGTATTAATACTTTGATGAGTTTAAAATTAATTGATGAAAACTTTTCATTAACAGAATTAGGAAATGCAATAGTTGATTATCCATTAGAAACATAATTAGCAGTTTGTGTTGAAAATAGTTTCTTGGATGAATATTAATGTTCAGATGAGATGTTAAAAATTGCTAGTGTTCTCAGTATTTAAGGAGGTATATTTAGTAGTGATGCTACACCATTATAGATGTTAAAAGCTAAAAAAGCTTTGGGTTGTAAAGAAGGAGATGTGTTATCACTTCATAACATATTTGTAAGATATATTAATATTGGAAATAAAGGGAATTGGTGTGATACATATAGAATATCAAAATATAAATTAGAATCAGCTGGAAAAATTTATAAATAAATTCAAAAAAGAAGGAAAAATAGATAAATTAAAAGTTCAATCCAAGATATTGAAGCTGTATTAAGATGCTTTGTTTCTGGTTTCTTTTCTTAAGTTGCACAAAGNGAAGGATATTCAGTTGTAATGCTTGATGATATTCATGAACGTACTTTGAATACAGATCTTTTATTATGTTTAATTAAGAAGATTCAAAAAAAGAGACCTGAATTGAAAGTGATAGTTTCATCTGCAACAATGGAAGTTGATTTATTATAAAACTTTTTTCCTAATAGTAAAATAATAGCAATTAGAGGTAGGAATTATGAAGTTGATGTAATTATAATGTACATCATATTTAGATTATGTATTTACTTGAACCATGTAAAAATTATGTGGTTGCTTCTGTTGAATTGGCATATCATATTCATAAAAAGATGCCTGAAGGAGATATACTAGTATTTCTAACATCTGTTGAAGAAATACATGCATTTATTAATTTATGGTCACATCATAAGACTAATTGTGTAGTATTACCACTACATGCTAATTTGGGAATTGATAAATAATTGTTAGTGTTTAAATAACATGCAAGTAGAAAAATTATAGTATCTACTAATGTTGCAGAAAGTAGTGTTACTATTGATGGAATAGTATATGTGATTGATTCATGTTATCAAAAAGTAAAAGTATATGATTATAAGAGAAGTATTAATAATTTATGTAAAAAACTTAGATTTGGAATAATTAAATGTTTTACCTATTTCTTAACAATCTGGTGCTTAAAGAGCAGGCAGAGCTGGAAGAACAAGAGATGGAATATGTTATAGATTATGTACAAAAGAGGATTATTAAAATTTACCTAAGACATTTCCACCAGAAATATTGAGATCTAATCTAACAGAACTCATTTTATAAATTAGAGTAAATATATCAAATATATATAATTTATAGTCATTCTCATTAACACCAAATCATTTATAATGTAGTAATACATTCTTGACTCCTGTATCTAATGAATAATTAATCAATAGTATTAATACTTTGATGAGTTTAAAATTAATTGATGAAAACTTTTCATTAACAGAATTAGGAAATGCAATAGTTGATTATCCATTAGAAACATAATTAGCAGTTTGTGTTGAAAATAGTTTCTTGGATGAATATTAATGTTCAGATGAGATGTTAAAAATTGCTAGTGTTCTCAGTATTTAAGGAGGTATATTTAGTAGTGATGCTACACCATTATAGATGTTAAAAGCTAAAAAAGCTTTGGGTTGTAAAGAAGGAGATGTGTTATCACTTCATAACATATTTGTAAGATATATTAATATTGGAAATAAAGGGAATTGGTGTGATACATATAGAATATCAAAATATAAATTAGAATCAGCTGGAAAAATTTATAAATAAATTCAAAAAAGAAGGAAAAATAGATAAATTAAAAGTTCAATCCAAGATATTGAAGCTGTATTAAGATGCTTTGTTTCTGGTTTCTTTTCTTAAGTTGCACAAAGAGAAAATACAGCAAGGGAAGGTGTTTATAAGAATATCTATACAAAATAATTAGTTCATTTACATCCTGCTTCTGTTTTGACAGTTTCATATCCTGAATGGGTAATTTATCATGAGTTAATTGAATAAAGTAATATCAATAAGATAATTTAATAGATCATAAATTAACTATGCATAATGTAACTGAACTTGATCCTCATTGGTTATTTGAAATCGCTCCTCATTTTTATAGAGATGCTAGATAAGAAATTGCAGAGTTGAAACATTAATAGGAAAAGGATTAATTAGATAAAATAGAGGTTGAAAAGTAACAAAAACAATAAGAATTATTGATGAATTAAGAAAGTAAAGTAGTTTTTGGGAGCATTAAA